AAAGTGACATTTCAAAAGTTATTTTCTATGTAGGAAAATCCCCGTGCTGTCGATCGACCGGTTTTCAACCCATGGTTGTCAAAATTTAACTTCTTGTCTGTCAGAAGTAACCACGCTTGGATAGCAGGGTTAATCGATAACTTTCCATCTGTGAAATTTTAACCAGAAGTTAAAATAATCCACCAAATGGTTCAGAGCCTAAGTAGGCCATTGCGAACACCTATCCTGTCGTATTTAGCCAACGCAATGTCATGGTTCATTTTGTCAAATGCTGCGGAGAGGTCTGTGTAGATGGCATCTACTTGATGGACAGTATCCATTGGACACGTTCTACTTCACGAATGATGAACGAAGTGAACGTAACTAAATTGGTCGTCGTGGAACGCTTAGGCATGAAGCTATGCTGATCCGTCGAGATACAGTGTGCAAAACTTTGAGCCAATTTTTCGAGTATAATCAACTCAAAAAGTTTGGAGCACTTAACGAAGCTATTCTACGGTAGTTTGAAACAGTCCTTTTGCAGCCTTTCTTGTGGATTGGGAACACGAAAGACTCTTTCCAGCAATCTGGGAAAACCCCAGACATCAAGGAGAGATTGAAAACGTTGGCTAGAGGCAGGCATGGAAAATCATTTGCATTCATTTCATACATTCATTTACATTCATTTGCCTCTAACTTTTTTCATCAACAGCAGTCCGTAAAATGATACATAGAACTTTTGTAGGTTTTGTTATTAGCTACAACTTTTGGTCATAACTCAAATCTATATCTCTTATGCATCACGAATTAGAGCGGGCAGAACTTGTTACTGTTTTCAGTGAATGTAAAATACATTCATTGAAAACCAGTAGTGGCTTATGTTCGCTCTGGTTCGTCATGCATAAGAGATATGGATTTGACTTGTTAAGAAAAGTTGTAGTTAATAACAAAACCTACAAAAGTTCTATACATCATTTTGCGGAATGCTGCCGAAGAAAAAAGTTAGAGGCAAATGAATGTAAATGAATGCATGATATGAATGCAAATGATTTACCATGCCTGGCTAGAGGTGTCACCAAATACATCTTAGCCATAATACTTTTTTCGGTGAACTTATGATCCTGTTTAGCGTCATGGTTCTTCTCTACTGCGCTAAATCAAACGAGTAGTAATAAGAAGGGATGTCGGTTACGCGCTCGAATAACTGAAAATTCGATAAATAATTAATAGAATAGCTTGGAAAATCTTTAATATTAATCGTTCATCGAATAATTGGACTTTTAGGCATTCCTAGAAAAAAGTGTAATTTCATGTTTCTGGTGGTCCTTCGAAAATGTCGAACAGCAGAATTGAAACCAGCAAGTGTAACCCAAGAACCAAAAGCGGTGCGATGATAGTTTTCATTGCTATGACGAGGACTGAATTAAGGAATTTAGAAACAGAGGGGTGAAAGTCAATTCTCTTTATCGATTTCCTCTTTTGATCACCATGGCTTAACTAACCTATTTAGATTACTTCTGCTATGCTCTTTTCACATCCAGAACAACAAACGTATCATTGAATGTGGCAAAGTTACGTTATTTAAGAAACAGAAAGTTTCCAAGTTTGGTGGTTCTGATGAGTGTGCAAAATGATACGCAATTGAATCCTCCCTATTCGCACATACTCGAAAATCGAAGGCGAATGCCACTTCGACTTGTTTCGTCTACTAACGACTCTCTGATGACAGTGTTGGGGAAGCAGCAATGCTACATCGACATGTTTCGTCTAGAAACGATTCTCTGATGACTGTGTTGGGGAAGCAGCACATGCATGAACGTAATTGGTGGATTTGTTAGTTATTTCGACGCTGTTGGACAATGCTTGACACTTACCATTTTTTCAATAGTTTCTGTTTGGAAATCGAAAAACAGTCGAAAGCATTTCTGATCGATTGGTGAAAACATTATTGAAATTGGTCCAGAGGCAGCTGAGTTATTTGCGTTCAAAATCTTTCATAATTTCGTTACATGTCCCATTTTCGGTTTTCACAAAGTGTACCCCCATATAGAAATCACAGACGTAGTCCTACGTCAAAACCACCATCGTCCTCCTGCAACTGCGCTCGACTGTCATGTTGAATATGTTTTCGCCTTCTTCTGCAGCGGGAGGAGCTTTTGGGGCCTTATTTTATTTGGGACGCGATACATTCTAAAACGATATTTTTTTCTATCTAGCTAAACTAAAAACAAAAGAAAACGAATAAAATAACGTGCAAAATTTACAAATTAAAATTATTCACGAAGGCGTGGTGAGTACGTGTAAATGACAACAAAAACAAAACATAACAAACACGGCACGCACACGCTCGTGTGAAACACGGCTAAATTACAGTCGGCGAAAAAAAACTACTCAAAACGGGATAAATTGTCAATGGCGCCGGTGGTGTAGTGGTAAGCGTTATTACATCTCACCCCAGCAGGCCTGGGTTCAATTCCAGTCGGCGCCGCCGGGATGTTCTGAGGCATAGTATCTCTGATCACGCCTTCCTTCGGATGGGAAGTAAAGCCGTTGGTCCCCGGTTCATGAGTTGATGGGTCGATAGGTAGGGTCCAGGTGTGGGAGCTGCCTTCCTGGCACGTCGGTAGCATTGGTGCTCAGCACGGAAAACAAGATCGACGGAAAAAAACAAAAAAACCAAAGGGATAAATTGTAACACGCAGGCTACAAGGTCGCCCCAAAACTACTCGACTTGTTTTGTCACGGAACACCCTTTGTCTGAATCCTGATGAATGTGGGCGTCTTAGTGGAATACCTTGTCTGTTTAGCACGCCGAATTTTGGTACACGGACAACGGAAAAATAATGGAAGCATTTCGTGGACTGTGTACCAAAATTTGTAGTGCTAAACAGACAAGGGGTGGTCCGTGGCAAAACAAACTGGAACCGGTCACTTTAGTTAAAAGGAACATATACATATATAAGACGGATTACGACTTTACAGTTCCAAACTTCAAACGGACCTAGTTGCATGATGAGTTCCTTTCCCCACAGTCATCACAATTAAACAATGCACGATTTTCGCCCTTCAAATTGCACGACTGGCGCAACGAATCGCCTGGCACATGAATAATCAACCCTCAAGGAGCCACAATCAACGCAAACTCTACAAATAAAAATTATAAAAACAAACGGTGAACTTGAAACCATTTTTTAGCTCATGCATTCATTTCAACAGTCGGCCAGCTGCTTTTCGGTACGCTTTTCCGCCTAGATTAATTTCAACGCGCCGCGTTCCGGTGCGTTGCCACGCGCTCTGCTTCTTCATTTTTTTTGCGCAAATATTTTCTATAGGGTTAAGATCTTATTTCCGTCATGCTAAGCATAAGCCGCACTTTACACAATCTGAATATTACTGGCGATGTCAACATCCAGGCGTCAAAAGTTGTATTTCTTATCAAGTAAACTACGAACTTGCATGAAATATAGCTAACAATAATTAACGATTACATTCAGTATTTGTAATATTTCATTTAATGTCAACAAACATTGAAAGCTGAATGAGAGTTTATTCAGGTAAGAGTATGGTTCTTCAGCTAAGAAACAGCTTAGTCAGCTTTTAATCAGCAAAAAATATTTGTTGGGTGGTATGGAATGTAATATTGTATGCTCCATTTATGTGCATTATGTTGAATAGAAATTCGCACTAATTTTTCGAACTGTGTACCTTTCTCTCTCGATCGGGTTTGAACAAAAAAATGGAATGTTTCAATCAATGATGACTTCTAAAACTATTTACCTTATTAGATTTGATAAAGAGTTCCAAATTGTTGAGATGTAGTTAAAAACCTAAGTCTGCTTCTTGATATCAATTCCGTCATACGGATTACAATTCCGTCATACGGATTACAATTCTGTCATACGGATTACAATTCCGTTCAAACACATTGAAATGTCATAAGGTTCACTTCGGCATACGTATGAATGGATCCGCTAGGAGTGCTTCTTTTGTTTTTAGAATAATGGATGTAAATATAAATATTATGCGTTCTTAAAGACTTTGTTTTGTAGCTTTTGAACTAAACTACGTAGTTCGAAAAAGTAGTGTAAATTTCTGTTACATTTGATGAACATAAATATATATCGTCACATATCATATTTCATTCAAGTTTACGTTAAAGAGCGTGTAAAGCTATGAGTCATTTAATGGAATATATCACAGTAGCAAACGTATCGTTGATATATTTGTTGGTTCTGCTCGATATGACGGAAATAGGCGCTTATGCCGAAGTAGAGCTCTACCCTACCTACCTACAGGAGAAAAACAAACGGAGAAATAGCCAACAAATATTTACCACAGCTTCCATGACCAAGCAAATCAAAAGCTATGGGGTCGACCGCCCGCCCACAGACAGACATAGCTAGGGCAGCGAACAACCGCAGCGCAGTAGGCGTATCAGCCCGAAAGTTACATCACAGTCTTATTTGGTTTCCAGCCACAGTCTTCTATCGTCCATCAAAGAGATTCACGCTTGGCTGCGGACCAGCGAGGTTCAAAGATTTGTGTGTGTGTAGAAGAATGTAGATCGAATCGTGCTGAGGCTCGAATACAAATAGCTACAATGTTAGTTTTACTGTTTTACTGTTTTAATAGATTTGCATCCGACGAAAGTAAGATTCATTTGGTTCCCTGCAATCATTTTTCTGCGGATGCAGATTTTTTTTTTTCAATTTCCACATACGGGCGCAGCAAACAAAGGAAAAAAAAATATATTCTTTTTCCAGCAAAAGAGATTCGAGAAAGGGGAAATCAATTAGCTTTCTTTACGGGATTTTGCGCAAACGATCAGGTCTACTCATATTGATTTCCTGGCGTTACGAATGGGAAATTACGACGATCATGAAAAATACGGGTCGAAATTGGGGCGGTTACTGTTAAAAGCCGATATGAAGCTACATATGATTGAATGGGGGTCAGTCGTCGTTTTTCGTCTTGACAATTTGCTACTGATACTAATTTCGCTCCCTTTGTTCTCGTTTCAGTTCACATCTACCTCTCCCCGGTAGAGACCCACTGCTCCAACATTGACTACTTCCCTCAGACCGAGGAGGACAAGGCGTCTCCAGGCTTCAACGAGGACATCATGGCTCGTCTGCATTTGGCCCGTTCCGTCATTGCCGCCTTAATTCTCAGGTTCGTTCCATCGGAGTCAGCTAATTCTTTCCGGAGGATCGTTCAACGAGATCTATTTTCAGCTTCGTTGCCATCTTCTGTGCCTTCTGGACCGGGCTGTCCGGCTGCTGGAAACGATCGGCCGGTGCCATCACGGCGACGGCGATCCTGATGCTGACGGCTTGTCTGCTCGCGGCCGGTGCCATGGGACTGTGGCACACGGTCGAGTTCTTCGAGAAGGAAAAGGTCGTCGGCGACGATTACTACCAGAGCTGGACCACGGTGAGTTTGACTTTGAGCTTTTTGCAATAACGACCTTTAAAAACGTTTTTCCTCTTGAGTTCAGTAAGTTGCAGTTAGATAATTTATTAATAACGTATGGGCCACTTAGTAATGGAACAACATCATTTGGGTCTATTTCGGATTTGAATTAACGGATTTGAAGAACGGTTTTCACTCAAGTGCATACTATTCCTTATTTTCTAAGGAAAATATACGAAACGAATTGTTCGTCCCGGTTCGGAAGGAATTCTCGAACTTTTCACTTAATACGACCCATTAAGCAGCGATTTTATCCCACCAATTTTTCATCTGACCTGCTGTTTTGCCTTTTACCTTCAGTTTCCTCTTCATAATTGCCCAGTAGTTTTGAATGGGCCTGAACTGGGGACAATTGGGCAGATTGAGGGTTTTCGAAACAAACTGGGCTCCGTTGTCATTGTACCTTTTGTTGTACTTCCCGGCTGTATCGACAACTCGCAAGATCAGGCCAAAATGTCACCGGACCATCATGTAACTGGATGAAGGGCAGAATTTGGCGATTTGGCGTGTAACTTCTCTAAGGAAGCTACTTTAAAATCTTTAAATAACTCTGAAGTTTTCCTGAAGATCTCGGAACTATGCTGAAGTTTTCGGAAATTCCTTATGTTTCTTGGGCCTTTTTTAAAGTTTCTGCATTTTTTCTTTAAAGTTAATTTATCTGCATGGTATTGAAAATATTCGTTCTCAAAATTCTCCTGAAAACGTCCTGAAGCTCTTCCTGAAAATCCTTGTAGGGATCAACAATGTGTTTAAAGTTTAATTTTAATTTTCAAAAGCTCTCTGAATTTTCCCCCTGAAATTTCACAAAAAAAATTTCAAAGTTTCAAACAGGAATTCTCTAAAATAATCCTGAAGTTCCTAGAATTTCTTAAAAGTTCCTGCATTTTTCCGGAAGCTGATGGAACCGTCTTGAGTTCTGGAAGCTTCCATGAAGGGCCCAAAATTCTACAGAAGTTTCCTTACCCTAGTAGCACGCTTGTCGCATATCAGTTGTGGAAACTTCTATACGACTTATTTTAGCCATAACAAGTTTCTGCAACTACGTCTATGGGAGTACACTAGACTGATGCAAAATTTGACTTTTTCGCTCCACAGTGCTTAAATGGTTTCAAATCGGGTCCTGATTAGCCTCCAAAAGTTACAACTCATTTGGTTAAAAACAGACTTCGCACAAACCATTTGAAGTTTACATGTAAATTACTATGGGAAATCTCAACTTTTTGTTCATTGCCTTCTAGTCTTTTTCCATATTGAGCTGCGAAACAGTTTGATAGCAATTCTTACAGAAAATTTTCTCAGCTACAACTTTGCTGAAGATCGTTCCTATGTAAAACGAGACAGAAAAAAGTTATTAATTATTTAAGAGATTGGTAAACTTATGACATGATCAAGCAGCTGCTCTGTAGGCAACACTGTATTTTGCAGTGTGACATAGTAGCCATGATTTTTTTGTCCTATTCAACGCCCCAGAAACACCAATGTTGCCTGCTGATCAGTTGATTGAGCATGATCATAAGACATCAGCGCATTGAACAATTGATAACTTTCGATCCTTGCATTTAATCAAAAAATGGTCTTCAGCAAAGTTGTAGCTGGGAAAATTTCTTACAAGTGCAGTTGAAAGTTTTCGAAGCAAACCGATATGGTGAATTATTAGATAGACATGAACAGAAATCTTGGTTTTACCATAGTAATTCCCATACAAACTTCAAATGGTTTGTGCCATCTCAGTTTCTCACCAAATGAGTTCAAATTTTGAGAGGTTAGTCAGGATCAGATTTGGAATCGTTTAAGTATTGTGGAGCGAAAATTTCAAATTTTGCATCACTCTAGAGTACACTTTATGAAAACCGAAAATGAAACATGTAACAAAATTGTGAAAGATTTTGAACGTTAATAACTCAGCTGCCCCTGGACCAATTTCAATAATTTTAGGACCGATCGATCAGAAATTTTTCTACGCATTTTTCATCATTTTTCAAAACGTCACAATTAAATATTGCACAAATGTGCAACTGTTGCTATGATAGTTAAAATTATCACCGATTGCATGCGAAAAGCGATTACCATAACACAGATTTCAAAGTTGAATTCCATCCGGTCTCACCAAACGGTGTTTATTCAATCACCGCGTGCTGAGTAGTGGTGTTCTCCAGTACACTGTAGCCCACATGAGCATCCATAGAAGGAGGAAGAAGCCGCACCGCTATTGATCGGAATCAGTAGCTCTTCGAGAGTCGCTGTGGGACATCTATATCAAACGCTTCATACTAAAGAGTATAAACAGAGAGAACCTCGCTTAAATTCCTATTCCTACACGGTAAAAAGTCGTTACATCTAATCCAAAGGCTCTTGCACTTGACTCAGTCTGTCATGCGGCACTACGAATCGAAGTGATGTATCATTGATTTTCAAGTGATTTGCGTTTTGAAACAAAGTGATTTGTCGTTGAAAAATATGTTAAATCAAAATGATTATCATTTGAATTGGCACCACAGTTTTCATTCATTGCATTTGATTAGTTTTGATTTTGGAAGCAAATGTCAAAAACGCACATGCCAAACATTACTCGCGAAGATGGAAGTCAACAACAAATTAATTAAGAGCAAGAAAGCGATAATTCTCCATTTCCACCCGAAATAATTTGCATTCTAGAGCGCGAGTATTACTAAAATGTTTTTGTATTCAACAATAGTGTATTATTCAGATAAGTTTCAGATTACAAAACATTGTCAAACTAATAAAATTGATTGCTCAATGTTATTTCTACTACAAGCCTTGTAAAGTTGTTCAATATCACTTGGACACATGTGATCTGGGTAGTTATCACCTCGGTAATCACAAAAAGTAAATTAGTTAAATTTAAAGTGATAGATTTTTAATATCAGTATGCTTGACTTCTAGAGTTCAAAGTACAGCAAATTAACAACGATGTGCAATACAATATAAAATAAAGTGATTTGCTGTTGATTTCATCGTGCACATCGATTTGCAATGTTTGGCAAGTAGTGCAAATTCAACTGCACATCACTTTACATCAACATGATGTTTTTTTTTACCGTGTACACAAAACACAAACTTCTGCTGCAGTTAACATTCCTAATTAGAGATTTGTATAGATTTTTCTCCTTTACTTAAATCTTGGGTTATTATTAGTTAGGTAGGTTCCGATTCTACACGTCATAGTTTCATTTTTATACCTGTGATCTTGACATTTTTACCTAGGGGATGAGTACTTAAGTGGGTTAGGTTTTTGATGCTTTCATGATGCTTTTCCGAAATCCGTAGTATTCTTCTAAGTTCTGTAGTGTTCCTACAATTGTTGTGAATCGCCTTGAAGTTCTCTAATTCCTGAAGTTTTGTAAGTTCACTGAAGTTATCGCAAGTTTTAAGTAGTCAATAAAGACATCGGAGGAATACTGCTCACTCATGCCCACTATTTTCAATCTTGGCACCGAAGTGGGAACAACTGCACTATAGTTTTCACCCAGTTTGCTTTCAATACCATTTTTCACATCACTTACATTTGCTCCTGTTGCACACTCAACAATAATGGAGCCATCTTTACAATTCCTAAGATTACTGATTTTGTGTGTTTTTGGATCCAACTGAGTTTTCGAAAACTTACGAGTATCTTTGCAAGGTTGTTTGGACTCTTTCGGTTTAATCACAATGACCGGATGAGTCTTACGATTATCTGGTTTGTTACTTTTACTGTTACTGTTACTACCGTGGAGGCACCATATTCGAAGCGGTTCCTAAATCGACGCACTCAATAATGTTCGAGTATTTTCAATAATTATTTTTGAAATGTTACTTTTGATATATTAGTTTCAGTGCTCAAGGGATGATGGTGTAACAAGGTTTAAAAAAATATCTTGTCGAAATCGAGATGCGATCAAAAATAGACGAGTGCGTCATCATTAGGAACGCGTCAAATATGGTGCTGGCACGGTAATAGTTTTACTTTGACTAGCACGACTATTTATTTTTACAACATCCGCCAAGCTCGCATTTTCTTGAAAAACATCATCATCATCATTATCACTCTTTTGTATTTTACGTTTTTTGCGTCTGATATTTTGGTCCGATTCCGACTGAATTGTCCTAGATGAACTGCGCTGATAATTCATTACAGCTAATTGGTTTTCCACATCAATTTTAAAAAATAAACTTTTCATATTGTCCAATTTCTCACAAATTAAATTTTCAAGACCATTTACATTAAGTCTAATGTCTAGAATCCAGCTTTAAACCGCAATGTCCACCTGAGCAGCAATGTGATCTCGCATGTCAGTGATCGAGTCCGAGAGTTGAAAAACCTTCTTCATCTCTTCCTCTATCCTTTTGACGCGCGAGATCAGATCATTCTGCTCGTCACAACCAACAATCAATACGAAACTAACGATTTTAAATTGGCTCACCACTTTAGTAGCCTATTGGTCCTAAGCAAACGATTAACGTACCCTATTCTAGTTGAAATTCTATTACTACACTATGTTTGTTTTGATTCGCTATGAAAGTTTGACAGATAACATCAGGGGTGTGTGGATTCATGCAGAACATGCAGGGGTGAGTGAAATAGCTTGGGACTGCTTGGGACCGTTGTTCTGGTACTGAGTGAGCCAAAAATAATAATGATTTTCTTCGGGACCCAGTGGTCTTAGAGTAACCTCTATGTCACAACTCTGATCTGAAAGGCAACAATCACACTTGAACAGAACATTTGCAATATCTGCTATAAGCCTCGCCGCAGTCTGAGTGAGTGTCGCACAAGCGAAGTGGAATGTTCCACTGCACGGACCTACACATGTAACTGGGAGGTCACTCATAGCAATAGACTGCTCACAGACATTACACACATCCATTTTACCAAATTAAACGCTAACACCAACCGGTGGAAACTAACGATTTTAAATTGGCTCACTACTTGACTAGCCTACTGGTCCCAAGCAAATCGC